TTTTGTAGCAGCAAAAAGTACAAATGTAAAATATATATTATGATTTTGTATGTAATTCAGATTTGATTTAATTTAATTTTTTATTTCAGAACTGAAAAGTGAAAGCTTGCAGTGGAAAATATTTCAGTCTTTCTCAAGACAGGAGAAATAATTTGTGAGAGTTAGGGCCGAGGATATCTGCAAAATCATAAAGAGCATTTACGTCACGCTGCACTTCAACACTTACAGCATGTAAACTGAGTAAAAGGGACCAAAATGGTGTTGGGTAAATAATGTTAAATGTAACACACGTGGTGTTTTAAGTGTGACGCCCTGAAGGCTCTTAACCTGCGTCACTTTCTTTACAAATTGGACTTTCTATGTGGTTGACTGACAAACACTCTAGTTTTACAGCCCTTTCCACAAACACACAGGAAGCAGCGGTTGAACTTGTGACGGCCAACGACGCAAACCATCTGGAAGATATTTCCATGCCAAAATGTAGAAATTGGCCATGGAGGTCTGGCAAGTATTTTAAATAAACATTACTTTTATTTGAAACAAGCACTTACACATTTTAAATATGACAGTAATATGAGATTTTTTATATTTATTTAGGTCAAGTCAAATCCAGTGATTGTCGTTGATCTTTATTTAAACATTAGACCAAATGTCCAAAATGAAGCAGCGATCTGATCCTCCTTCCAGGATAAAGTATTTGTTTTTCATCTCTCCAGTCAGACCTCCCTGGGTTTGTTCTGTTTTTGGTGTTCTCTATGCACTGCTAAAAATAATACCTATAAACATGTGGCCATAAATTTGAATATTTTTGTTTGTTTTGGTAAGAGTTCTCCCCGAAGTGGCAGCCATGTGTTAATTTCTTCAACCGAGAAGAAGTTCAAACAAACATCACCATGGCTGCAAACTGTGACAAAAGCTGTGAGCGATCAACAGGGTGTCCCGTCAGAGAAGGTAAGAGGAACTGAGGAGTTTAGCCTGAGACCACTGGTACCAATAAGTATTTGAAGAATACTTCCCTTATTCTAACTTTGTTAAATGTTTCCACAGACGATACAGCACAATATCACGAGGTAACTGGGAGAAAGAAAGGAGAGCTTTGATAATGATCATAGAGTAATATCATTCATAAAAGTCTAACGCAACACCTTCGAATTGTATGAAGAAACCCATTTACGAATCTGCAATAACAAAATATGACCCATATAATACAATACGGGTATACCATTATTTTCCTTTTTTAAACAGTTCATGACTAAATTGTCGAAAACTGTACTGTTCTTCCTACATAGATCAAAATCTGCACAAATAAGTTGTTCATATATCATGCATAGTGAAAATAAAAAAGCAAGACATTTGAAATAAAGTACAAAAATAACCATCTTAACAGAGATAAAAATGCAATCCAACAGCACCACAAACTAATATATGATTCTCCAATAGTTCCCAAAGAAAGCCTGCTCTTCTAGACACACACTTTCCATCAGATCTGTCTGTCTGTTCTAACAGAGCATAAAGCCATTGACATCCTCATAAAATGCATAAAATGCAGATTTTCCATATTGCATAATCGACTGCCACCCACCATAAAACACATCTGCCGTCCCGGTGTCTGTCTCAGCTCATGTATCGTGGCATTCAGCAAATAAACCCTGAGTGAGAGATTTGCGGTGGCCTCCCAAGCTGTTAAACCCACTGCCTGACTGCAAGTTGAAAATAAGGGGAGCACTCAATTTCATCACTGAATATGTGGAGAATGCATTGTAAAATGATGATGTGAATGATAGAAATTAAGGTAAAGAGATGGCTAACAGGGAGAAATAGGAAGGACCAGCTCCTTTTTTCTAAATATCTAAACTCTCTCTGAACCCAACCACAGCCTAAAATGAACTCCCAGTGAAATACAAACTGTCTCCTTGCAGCAACATCAGCAATGTCTCACTGGTTGAATATCCCATTAACGTGACATTTCCATTTTGTGTCTAGCACAACCGGGTCAGATCAACAGTGATTACAATTCCTTTCAGTAGATATCATGTGTTTTAAGTAATGATGTGTTGTGGGGTAACATGCCTTAAGACTAGAAGCCAATGTGTAATGATCTGCAAAAAGATAATATTTTGAATAAAGGAAACGCTATTATAGCCATCTGGAATTATTCAAGCTATTTGTCTGCATTTCCATTGAAAGCCCACAGATCAAATACACTCCAACTCCTGATGCTTAAACTGATTCACTTCACATGTGGTTCTGCAGAATTCACAGTGCAGAGGATGTGTCAGAATTTAGAACCAGATCTCCTATAGAAGTTAAGCCTTTTTGCCAAATTTGCACTATATTTCATAACTGTTTAGTTGCAAATATGACTTGTCGCAGATGCTTTCATGTACTGAATGTTGCTGTTTTGCACTGACAGAATGTCAAAGCTGAGTTACTTCAGTAGTCTAACTTTTGTTTGAATACAATTGGATTGTCGACATCAGTTCAGTGATAAACTACACTAGAGATCTCAGACAGTGTTGCTTGACGGCCAAGAGTACCTGGCTGTTCTGAATCATAAAATGATAACTTAATAAATCATTAATATCAATCTTTCACATCTATGTTTCACTTGATCTGAGTTCATTTGCTCCTGTGTGTTAGTGTGCTCGCAGATATTGAATCATGAATGGATTCTCACGGTGCTGGTATAAACTGGAAATTACTAACCAAGTTTTCTTTACTGCATTGAATTCATCAATAATGGCCCAAAATGTATTTGTTGTCCCAAAATATGTATAAAAGATCAGAATATTGTCAACATAATGTCAGAAGAAGAAAACCTGCACCATCATGTCAGGTTTTTTTTAAATAATTTTCTCTCAATAAATTCCTATGTGTCAAAAGAAGATGTCATAAAGCACCACACAGCCTGTAGGCCACATGTTACTGTATGATGTGTTGCTAAAACATTGCTGATGTTGGACTGTCAGTGTAAACTCTGAGCGGATCATGGTGAGCTCTCAGTGGTGGCGTCGAATGTGTGGCCTGCCCGCTTGGCAAAGATCTGGATGCCCTACAGCAGAGTCAGACAACAGCTATAGCTCTTACTGTGTGATCTGTCTTTGTTTAGAAAAGACAGGTTCCATCCTCAATTTAAAGTGGTACTGAAACGTTTCCTACCACTGGAGTATGAAGGGTATCTAGTGGGTAAACAAACTGTGAGTGGGATATTAACACCAGCTGAAACGTTTCGGTTTGTTCATCCTTCTATATCTGCCTCCTCCATCTTTCTGAGTTTGAGGCCAGTAGCCTGGTTTCCTCACTTTCCTCCATCTCTTTCCACCTGCTTGTTTTCTTCCATATGTTCCTCTCAACAGTTGAAATATTTCACAGATACTATGAATGTGCGTATGCAGACTTCCCACGTCATTCCTGGAAGATGTCCCACTTTGCCACACTGTGCCAAGCTGTCATACAGTAAATAAGTCGATAGTGTTATGTTATCCAGGTAGTATTTATTGAAAACATTTAAGGCTGTTGGCAAATGTTTACAACAAATACAAAATAAAAACCTAGGTTGGAGTCTGCATACAGAACCATTCTTTTGAAATGTGATATTATTCAGCTTCTATTGGCAAACTGTTTGAAAATCACTTGGTTTGTGCCAAAATGTGGACATAAACAGTATACAACTGCCCACATCATGAAATATAAATATCTAAAGAGTACAGTACTTAGCCATGTAGTAAAAAAAACATGGGACCATTCATTCATAATGCTCCGAAGTCTAATCTTATACACAACTATAAGGTTAACACAGGAACCTTAAACAGTGTTTTATATTCACATATGAAACACTTAAATCCAAAGATGTTTGACTTATTTGTCTAATGCAGTAAATAAATGCTGCACTGATTTTGGGTCATAACATGATGGAAAAAGTTCTCAAATAAAAACAGCAGAATTTTTTATTAGAATATTTATATAACAAACAATATCCAGAAACTATTGAAAAATAAAGCTTTTTATAATCATACATGTAAGTCAAAAAGAATCCCCTTGTTTGAGTTTAATCAATGTATCATTAGTAATTTCTCATGCAAAAATCATGGAAAATGCTGTTTTTAGCTTCTGAAATGTGGAAGTGTCCTATTTTCTCTTTAGTACTGAAAGAAAACACATTTGAATATATCACCTTGTGATTTGTTCATGTTTAGCTATTTTTATTTCACATTTACACTTTATAGATAAGATGTTACTAAAATGTTATTGGCAAGTTAATCAAAAAATAAAAATAACCATCAGTTGCATGTCTACACTCACTATACACCTCACCCCAACTCTCTTGGGGTGAAATCTTACACACACACAGGTAGTTTCAGCTTCACCCCCAAGTCCAGCCGTGTTCCTCTGCTCTGAAGAAACCATAACATCTCAGACCAGATGTGTCAGCCCTCCCACTGATCCAAGCTACTGATGAACCAAAGTTTCCACTGTGTGGCTATTTTAGGAAGCCGTAACAATCGTACAGGGAATAAGATGGTTTTCCACTGTGACCTATGTAGGGTTCGGCAAGAGAGGTCAAAAGGTCACCACCCACTGTCAGTGGGACCAAAGTAAGAGAGCCTCGAAACCTTATTAAATGAACATCCTGGAGTGCAAGGAAATCCCCAATAAGGTTACTTCAATCGTAAATGGTAAAGTGTGCATAGGAAAATGAGATCTACTGATTAACAAATGTACTTATACTTAATTTACAATGATAACGTAAACATTTAATAAGCCTACCATATAAAGTATATATTACGTTTGTTTGTAGATTATTTGATTCACCTCGTTGTGTTTCCTCTCTGACAGGATCTCACAATAAAATGTGAGTCTCGCCGCCCTCCAGCACTCTGGGTGATCTCTCCGACATTCCTTCCTGTTTGTTGTCATGGTGCCAGCAGGACAGCTCCTCTATATAAGACCCTCCTCTCCCAAGTCTAAGCCAGAACGACAAAGAGATCACAACCTTCTGCTACAGCACAGCCAGAGAGGAGGGAAGATTCAACCCTGAACCAAAGGACTCAATCTTAAGACAACTTAATACTTATTAGACTGCAGATATTTTTGATCCTGCTCTACTCACCAAGAAGATGACCAATCTCTCAGAAAAAGCTATTTTTGTCTTCTTAACGGCACAGGTAGGCATTGCAGCAGTCACTGAGTGATTTTATATATAGCGTTTTTATATTCTATCAGAAGATACTCTTGGTGTGAAAAGTTTTAAAATAATGAAAATATTTTTGAAACAAATAATTTTTTCTGTGTAGACTGGATTATTTTTCACACAATAATTTCTTTAAGATATAAAGACAATGTTACTTCTTTATTATTTTTGCCATCGAGTGCACTTATATCATGATATCCTAATTTTTCTCGAGTGATGAATTGGAAAAAGGTTGTTTTAGCAACTTTTTTAACCAACAGTTCAACTTAGTCACTGAGAAAGCAACTGACATTAAAGTTTACTATGGTCATTATGTGCCTTTCTGCAAATGCCACCTTTTTTTCACAAGATTCAAAAAACAAATATCCCAACAAAAAATAGGATGGCAACACATTTTTGTATGTAATATTTAATCCCGATTGTCAAGAGCAAGTCATTTTGGTTGGACAAGAAAAAACAACATTCAACAACATGTAAAACCCTAATTAATTTTCTTTCCTATCAAGGTGTTCACACTGGTCTGGTCCCAGACGTGTCCTCGAAGATGCCAGTGCCCTAAGGAGCCCCCCATGTGCCCCCACGGAGTGCCTTTGATCCTGGACGACTGCGTCTGCTGCCTGGTGTGTGCCCGTCAGAGAGGGCAGCTCTGCTCTGACATGAATCCTTGTGACACACGCAAAGGTCTGCAGTGTGACTACAGCACAGACGTCCACAAGAGAACCGGTACCTGTGCTGGTGAGTGAGCAATTACATTCCCTCACATTGCACATTACATAATGTAAGTAAAAACGTGGTTACTGACTTTTGCCTATTGTGTCTCTTCCCTCCAGCTAATAAAGGAGAGGTCTGTGTTTTGGATGGTTCTGTCTATCAGAACGGCCAGACCTTCTTCCCCAGCTGTAAATACCAGTGTTTTTGCCGTGATGGGCAGATCGCCTGTGTGCCACGCTGCAATTTGGACGTGATGTTGCCTGGGCCGGACTGCCCAATGCCACGCAGGGTCCAGGTGCCCGGAGAGTGCTGCGAGAAGTGGGTGTGCGAGCCCCAGGCTGAAGCCAGTGCCCTGGGAGGCTTCGCCATGGCCGGTGAGTAAACTGTAGCGTGAGATGGGATGAGACTGAGCAAACAGACCGTACAGATAGATCCATAGTCCCCTATGCCTTTCTAGACGTTAGTGTCACTGCAGTGTGAGACAAAAGGTTTAAAGGTTATGTACATTTCTCTGACCTGATCAGGGTAAGGGAGCAGAAACTAAGCAAGGAAGGAAAGAGAAAAATAAGTGAACGCTTAGAAAAGAGGCAGAAACACAGAGGAAAGAGACAGTGTTGTTGCTTAAGTCTGGAATGTGAAGCAGAAATGTGATCCCCCTGCAACCAGTTGAATACAGTCAAGGATCTTTAGGTGTTTCATATTTTTGAATTTGTTGCTGGTTGCTTTAAAGTTTTCAACCATACAAACTAGTACTTCATGAATGTCCTATAACAGATGTATTTATCTAACTAACCGTCGACCTTATGTGTGCTCCTCAGCCTTTCGTCAGGAGGACACAGTAAGCTTTGACGGTTTTGACCCCAGTCTGAACTGCATTGAGCAGACCACAGAGTGGGGGGCCTGCTCTCAAACCTGCAGCATGGGGGTGTCCACCAGGGTCACCAATAAGAACAGTCGGTGTGAGATGGTGAAGCAGAGCCGGCTGTGTATGATCAGACCATGTGACGACCAGCAGGACCAGACCCAGCTGACACCTATTGCACCAAAGGTATTTTTGGTTTGTTTTTTCATGCCATGACTTTTTATTATATATTATATTAGACAGCAGTAGAAGGAGACATAAGCTTTTTGTTTGGACTCACCTCTTTCTTTTACCCCATGCAGAGAGGCAGTAAGTGTCAGAGGATGGTGAGGAGCGACAAAGCCGTCCACCTCTCCTATAAGAACTGCACCAGCGTCCAGGCCTACAAGCCTCGCTACTGTGGCACCTGCACAGACGCCCGCTGCTGCACCCCCCACAGAACCAAGACCGCCCTAGTGGAGTTCCAGTGTGCCAACCGTAAAACCAGCAGGAGACCGGTCATGCTGGTCCTGACCTGTGCCTGCCACAGCCACTGCCCCCGAGACAACGCTGTGTGGCAGCCTACAGAGCTGGGATACAGCGGTTATCGCTCATAAATGTCCCTTTTGAACAATATTCTGTTTAAAACATGAGTTGTGTTAACTCTAACATTTTAGGTTAAAACAAAACTTTCTGTGAAATATCCAGAAAATAAGATTGTATCTGCTTATTATGGTCATAAACATACTTCCTGTTTTGTGGTGAGAGCTCAAGATCTCCGTTCCTGGAGAAAGGATTTAGTTGTGTAGCATAAGTGTTATCTTCACTATTGTAAGCTAAAATCAAAGCACTTAAAGCTTGTGATGAAATGATTCTCTCCATAGATCAGGGGGAGTACTACCAACCATTGACAAAAGACTACGGTTGGATTTGAATAGTTTTAGGCGCACTTACTTACTTAGAGGAGACAGCCTCTATTCGAGAGGTAAGATAGTATGAAGTTACAGGGTAGTGCAGACGTTGGGAGTGTCCTGACTGTTTGACTGAGAGTCAGGTCGGCCAATCAGGAAACTTCTTTTTTTGACAAAGAGCCTGAAACCACAGTGACACTTTAATCTAAAAATATATCCATAGTATAATTACTGGTATCCCATTACTTTTACATAAGAAAAACAAGGAAGAGGAGAAAATAAATTATTTTAAAGTAAGCTGTTACCTTTTACCAGCACTGCCATCTTTCAACTATGGGACACATTTTTGAAATAACTTGACTGTGTGCTTTTACTTAGTCCACACCAAGGGTTCAACCTATGAAAGAGAGGTCACTGCAGTGACTTTGTGTCATTTTTAACATTCGCCTGAAATCTTACCCCATTGGTAAATGTAAAATGGTTATGGTCTATGCTCAGTAAATGCAAAAGTAGTTGATGACAAAGGTTTTGTAAATACTTGCTGTATAGCTTGTTTGACTGAGTGTGTATCAAATACACAGCTTTAATCAGTAACAATGTAAACATGAATTGTATATATTGGAACGTGGTATTGTTTTTTTACTACTTGAACTATGCTTCATACTGCTTGTTGCTGTATCTGTCTGAATAATAATGATGAAAAACTCAACATTTGACAATAAATGTGTATATTTTGTATCTATTTTTCATTATGCTTTTTATATTCAACAGTATAAACCATTATTTCGTGGATGCAATGAATTAAGTTAATGAAGTAGATTGGGATTTGTGTTTAAATAATAAGAATGAATTGGTTGGATAAGGTAAATAACTACTTGAGATTTTAAAAGGGTATGATTGAGGAAAGCAGGGAAACATGCATTATAAATGAATAGGACTCGCATAAATAAATCAATGGGGATGTAGTATTTATGTATAAACGTTGACATGGGATTTCTCACACTACTTGCGTCTCATGTTGTTTGATTTTGTTGTATATTATCGCTAAAAATACACACTGTTAGTTTATAAATGGTACCAAATGGTTATTTGGGGTTTTTGGTTAGTAAAATGTATGTCAAGTGTCAACCAACACTAACAATATGGCAGCTCTACATTTATCAACACTGGAGGTTTACCACCTCTTATAAAATTAAAACTATGAACACAGAGAGCACAGCCCTTAAGGCCGATTCCATAAGTAAAAAAAAGAATTGGGCAAGTATTGGCATTAATTTGGCCTCCAGTGAGACTGTAAGGAATCTTGGTGTTATATTTGATCAGGATTTATCTTTTAACGCCCACATAAAATCAATCTCAAGGACCGCCTTCTTTTATCTACGCAACATTGCAAAAATCTGGCATATCTTGCCTCAAAACGATTTGTTACTTCAAGGCTGGATTATTGTAACTCTTTATTATCAGGGTGTACCAAGAAGTCAGTTAAGTCGCTTCAGCTGATTCAAAATGCTGCAGCACGCGTACTAACCAGAGTTCGGAAAAGGGACCACATTACTCCTGTTCTGGCTGCCTTACACTGGCTCCCTATAGAACACAGGATAGAATTTAAAATTCTTCTTCTCGCCTACAAAGCCCTTAATGGGCAGGCGCCATCTTACCTTAAAGAACTCATTATACCCTACTGTCCTACTAGGGCATTGCGTTCCAAGAATGCAGGGTTATTACAAAAGTACAATGGGAGCCAGAGCCTTTTCTTATCAAGCTCCACTTTTGTGGAATCAGCTTCCAGTTTGTGTTCGGGCGGCAGACACCCTATCCGTTTTTAAGAGTGCGCTTAAGACCTTCCTTTTTGATAAAGCTTATAGTTGAACTTGATAAAATAAAATAATCTAATAAGAGTGAATTGACGTAGACACGTTGTGCCTCTTCACCTATACATTTTAGTTCTTACTCTTTCACTTAAATCCTAAAAACTTAGATCTTATATTTAAAACTAAGGTTATTACTACTTCTCATTCTTCTAAATCTATTCTCTGTCTACTTCTCATACTCTCTACTTCTGTAATATATTTATTCTATTTTCTCTTTATCCAAACCTTTCCCCTCTCTGACCTCTCGAGGGTAACAGGTTGCAGAGAGGCCTATTCCGGCCAGGGGAGTGTATGACCGTAGTCACAGCTTACCTCCTTACCTCTCACCAATTCCAATTAAGGTTCCAGTGGGGACCTTTCTCCCTGCGTGTGCCTCTGCACCTCTGTTTCTTACTTCTTACTTGCTACCCTTTTCCCTCAACCTATCCTAAGGGAGTGTATGTACGTAGATACGTTGTGCCTCTCCACCTCTGTTCCTTACTTCTTCTCAACCTATCCTAAGGGAGTGCATGTACGTAGACACGTTGTGCCTCTCCACCTCTGTTCCTTACTTCTTACTTGCTACCCCTTATCCCTCAACTTATCCTAAGGGAGTGCATGTACGTAGACACGTTAGTTTAGCTGCTATAGGCTTGGACTGTCGGGGGACACCTTACTTCTTCCTTCTGTCTGTCTGTACCTGTGTACTCTCATGTTCCGATTAACCCAGCTTCCCCGAAATTTCTTTTTTGTGTCTATCTACGCCGGGATCCTGAGTCGAGGCTGATCCTGTTGCTGTGGTCCTGCCTGACTCTCATCATACTACTTCCCTGATGGCTCCCACAGGATTGTTGACATCCTCGTGGATTCATCCTCTTATTATAGACACATGCATTTCCAAACATTTGGTCTACCTACGCTGTGAAATGTATTATCTCTTCGATTTACACGCGGCATCTATTGCACGTCTGTCCGTCCTGGGAGAGGGATCCCTCCTCTGTTGCTCTCCCTGAGGTTTCTCCCATTTTTCCCTTTAAACTGTGGGTTTTCTCTGGAAGTTTTTCCTTGTACGATGTGAGGGTCTAAGGACAGAGGGTGTCGTTTTGTCATACTGATATTCTGTACAAACTGTGAAGTCCACTGAGACAAATGTAACATTTGTGATATTGGGCTATATAAATAAACATTGATTGATTGATTGATTTGCCCAAGGATTCAGATACGCTCCAAATGTTATATGTTCTTCCTCGGCCTATACTTCAACCTTACACAAGTTGAATTACATTTTGGCCGGTAGTTTTCAAACAAACAAACAAACAAACCAAACTTAAAACATGAACTACATGATAGAGGTGATAACAAAACAGATCACTAATTCAAATATAGATTTCCCTTTTCACATATCCTATATTCAATTGTTTTGGAAATAAATTCCCATCTTGAAAGAGTTTCCATCTGCATCTGGTGTAATCCTCTTCCTCTGGATCCTCTTTTAACAATTCAGGATGTTCAAGTCATCACATGGGATCCAGAAGTTTCCAGACCCCGAGCTCAATGACAGGTGGTGACCTTGACCTCACTCCCTGAATCCCACCTGGAAGGTCACAGTGGAAATCCCTGTTATCCCCTGTGGGATTGCTACTGCTTCCTAAAATAGCTCCTCATTGGAAACTTTAGCTCAGCTTGAAAAAGCGTGGGACTGACACTGTGGTCGCACATCTGGCTGGAGCTGTGTTATGGTTTCTCCTCGTGTTGGTAATGTTGGTTATTTCTGGGATTTAAAGTTTATCCTTGTGATGCGCTCTTTTTAAATAGAGTATGTAAAGTGTAAAGAGCAGGCTAAACAATAGCTAAAAACATGGATCATTTCTTGACCGTTTTTATTGGGGAATGGTGTCAGTCTGTCATCCATAAAACTTAAGTATCACTAAAAACAACAAAGCTCTCAGACTTTATCCCATTCTGTGTTCAGAAAAATGACTTAGTAATACAGATAAACAGATCTGACCACCTGATTTAAAAAACATCTTGAGTTTAATAGCCCTAAATTCCTGTCCTTTCTTAACATTCCAGGACTGCTCAGATTTTCCCTCTGTCTGGCTGAACCGTGTGATTACAACATCATGTCAGTGAGTGAATGGTCTAGTATGGATGTTGTCAGTCAAACTATATATATAACAACTATATATAACAACTACTGTGTTTCTGTAATTTTCTGTTGCTGCTATGAGACCTGCATTTCCATACGGGGGTCAATAAATGTCCATCTTAAAATCCATTCTCCTCGGATTAATTGATTGACAGGGACCAAACATATCATTCCAGTACATGGTGGACCTACTCTATTGCTGATAGTCTGTTTGTTGAACATTAAGAGACTTAACAACACATGTTTGAAGCAGCAATTCTTGCAGTATCCAGTATTTCCCTCATGTGATCAAAAGCATAAATAAATACACAGTCCGTAAATTCATGGAGATATTTAAAGCCCCACTTTAAAATACTTTTGTTATTCCAACATGTATTACTTTGACAACTCCTAGTGGTAATTTTGGCAATATTTAATAATAAATTCACAGTGTACCGCACTTCCCTGCCCTGGATTTGACCCTGAAATAAATTGTCTGAAAGCAATACATTCATTAATGTTCACCACTGATGTCTGATTTCACTTCATGCAAAAACACATGACATAAGACTTATTTGAAAAATGATCCTTTAAAGATGCTGACATGCAAACACGTTACACATTTCGTTGGCTGACGTACAGTAATGTTTCTACAGCTACAAAGTAATAATATTACACAACATGTGCCCAAGTTTCATGTTAATGTTATTATTTTGAGCATGCAAGCATCTGCACAATGACAGTGTCAACTGATTTTCAAAGTATACTATCATCTTAATTTAGCCCAAAATGAAACCTGTTACCTGTCGGTCCTTAATGAAAAGTAAGAGGAACTCCTATAGTTATAAATGAGAGGGACGTGAGTGCTTGTAACAACGTTCATGGCAATACATCTAAGATAAAGCTCTTCTCCTATACGTATTGTTAAAATCATTTAAATCAAATTAAAAGTTTGCAATCCAATGTTATTATACAGTATGTCATTCTGCTGCAGCAATACATATATATATTATACATTAAGCATACAGACCACTTTGTAATTATAGTGCAGTTTCCCTGTTTTGATTTTAGTCTCAAAATGATCTAACTATCTGAATAAGAAGCAATAAGATCTAAACACAAGAGTTCTTAAGAAAAGACAGAAAAACTAATAAGGACTTAAAATGTGGTGATCCAGAAAAAAAATCTGTTCTGTTTAAATTGCCATGTTATATCTTAATGAAATGGGGTGAGTTTGTATGAAGAATAAGTCGATTGCTCCCTCTAGTGGTGCACTTGAATGAAGTCACCATCATCACTACACAACACTTCAGACAGAGTAAGCACTGATATGGAAAAGCTTTACATGCTCGTTTATTGTGTTGTTTTTTTTATTTCAAGTGACGCTACCAGTGTATTTTATGGAGATGTAAACTTTAGGTTTTTAAAAACTGACAATTTAACACCAAATGCAGAAACAAGCATTACAAATATTTTATTAAAACTTCATTTTCATTTAGAAAATCACTGAATACAAACCAAACATTTTTACCTTTGAATATGTGAAAGATGAGTTTGTCACTGGAGGGAGATGCTTGTTGTAACCCTTCATACCACTGTAGCAGGAAAACATTTTTTATCCAATGTCATGATTTAAATATTGGTTTGCACACCCACAGAATAAAATTAAAAAAATATGTAAAAAAAAAAAATACAACGAACGCGGAAGTCGTTATCTGGATTTTGCGACCATCCTTTGAACCTCTCAACCTGCTGTTGCAGCCTCTGTACCCAGGTCTCACCTGATGTAGGACTGCAGAAAAGATAAATCCTCTCGTGAAAATTGCAGAAGGGAAAAGTGCAGGTCAACATCCTAGTGTCTTCATCAAAGAAGTTCACCGATCCTTGGTCATAGTCTACATACACCACAACTTTCCCATGTGTCGTTATCCAGAAGACTTGGACTGGCACTCGATGTAGAGTCGTAACATTTTTCAGAGATCCCGCCCTTATGATCCAGTTTCCATCCTTGGGTTTAGGTATGAATACCTTTACCCCTTGCATCGACTCTCCCTCCACTGCTGGGTCCTCGCTGGAGCCCCCTTCAGCCTGAACCTCACAGTAGCATCTCCATTCAGGAAGGACCCCGTTCAGAGCAACTCTGCAAAAACGGTCTTGAATCCACCAAGTCTGAGGATTGTTCATGTTATGTATCACTGTATTGTTTTCCATAGCCTCAGCTTTGCCTTGACTCATGTTCTTGTTCTTCTGAGCTCTCTTTCCACGCTTATGCTTCATTTCCTGTACTTCCGCCTTCTTTTTCCTCCCTATCTGAGCCCTCTTGTCTACATATGCTTCCTCCAAAGGGACTGTATCGTGAGCGCTGTGTTCTGTACACAGGACACAGACACATGTCTGGTCATTCCTGCAGAAGCGCTCAAGCATCCTGTTGTGTTTCTTGCATATTTGGTCCTCCAGGTTATGCACAGGATTAGTCAGTGTGTGCCTCTTTAAAGCTGCAACTCTTAGATGAGGCTCTAGGTGTGTCTCACAGAAAGATGTTAAGCAAACCAAACAGGTTTTACAGGCTTTGGACTGGTTGTCATCAGGGCAGCAGTCACATGGCACCTCTCCTGGCTTCACAGGGCAAGCATTGTCAGCTTTTGCATTAAGTTCCTTGAAATGTTCCACAACCTCCCTGAATCCAGTGTTGACCCGAAGTTTGAGATCTTTGGGGAACTTCTCGTTGCACAGTGGACACTTACACAGATCTTTGCCTTCCCAGTGCCTGGTGAGACAGGCCTTGCAGAAGTTGTGTCCACATGGAATAGTGACAGGCTCTGTGAAAACTTCCAGACAGATGGAGCACTGGAACTGATCCTCAGTAAGCAATGTGCAGGCTGTGGCCATATCTAATGGAGAGGAGACAGTTACAAGTTAAGAAACTCCCTTTGTTTTGACTCCCAAGTTGAACTGGTGTGAGCCATTTAATGAGCAACAGGTGCAATGTTCACTGTTGATAGCAATGAATACTCAGAAAATGATTAGAAGAGCAGTTATACTTCACCTTCTTGCAAGCTCTGCTCTGCTGTCTGCCTTTGGATGAGCCGAACTGTGTTTACCAGTTGTTGAGTTTCTACTTCTCTATAAATTATGCATTGGAGCTCCTCCTCCTCTGACTCATACTCCACATACACTGTAAAAATAAATAGGGTGTTTTAACTTAAAAAGTTATACAAGTTGTTTTATTAATGATCATCCATTGTTATAACTTAATACTTTGAGTTAAAGAAACTTACAATTTTACATTAGCGATTTGAGAAATGTTCATTATCTAGTCAAATCAACTTTAAATTCGACATTATCTTAACTCACAATTCTAAGCAAGGAGAACTTGTAACTATATTTATCTCCAATTCACAAATTCAAGTTATGTTGAGTCATGTTTTCAAGGCAGCAATTGCACTTACATTTTCATACTAAGTAAACTAGTGTTTTTTATTTCTAATTCTTATTATAAGGACAAGTTCACCAGTTTCCTTAACCTGTTAAGCCCGAGAGACCGCGGTACCGGGGCACTGCCGAAACATCTTGCAGGAAACAGTGTCTGAGGGCATGTTCATTTAATAAACTATGAATGTTTTATATCCATGTAACGGGAAGAAACTCATCTAACTGATCTTTTTTTTTTTTTTTTTTAAAGAAAACCCACAATGCTAAGACTGAGCCTCTGAATTAGCAACGAGCGAAAAATGCTAACAGCACCGAAAATCACTCACAAAACCTTATTATTTATCTTTTCTCCACATCCATGACATCGTGAGGTGACACAGAATCGAAGGGTACCCTCATTATCACTGAATTATACGAAATCGCGACGTTATAAGCAAAAACAGACATCAAAACATTTGGCGCTAGGTAGCTAAAAATGCTAACAAGCTTACCTTGGCTCTGTAGTCTCTCCAAAGTGGTCTTCAATGGCATTAAAACGATAAAAACGCTGCTGAAGTTAATCCATAGGTTAATCCAATGTGTCTGTGTCCCTTTGAAATGATTTCTGATAATCCATGAGCATTGAGACTGCTTTTCCGTTTCTAGATGTCAGAGCTAGAGATAGTTTCACTCTAATGCAAAATTACATGCGCAAAGCCCCCACCTTTTTGTTTCACAATGAGTGTGTGTGCGGGACTCCCCCTTTGATTCTATTGGCTCTAACGGTCAGAAAGAGGTGTCAACCATCAAAATCGACAAAGGGGGGCCAGAGATATTGAAAAAAAAACATTTCCACCCAAATCACCTCAGAGGTGGAGTGGTTTTGGCTAAACCTCTCTAAAAAGGTCAAATGTCACTTGTTTTGCATCAATCTTGATACAGGGTACTTATATGTTGTACTTTGGATTCCTAAAGCTTTTAGTCTACCTTACCATCATCCAAGGGTAGTTTTCACTATAAGTAAAACAAAATGTTTGGACGGACACTATAATTTACAGTTTTTCACTATGTAAAATCTGAATTTTCTTTAAAATAAATAACAACTATATTGTTCTGACTTTTCTACATCCAACTCACAGGTTTATCATTACTTTGAGAAAAAAGATTATTAATGTAACCCTTTTAGAAGGGAAGATATGGTCATTTGTTCTGGGAATGTCATTTTCGAGCCTGAGACCTGAAAAACAGACTCAGGGCTTAACCTGTTCCACTCTTGCCCCTTTCACACCAACGCAACTCCGGTTCAAGCTCCGTGCTAGAGCTTTTCTGGTTCAGAACCGGTTCTTCGGTTTAGCGCCGGCTCTTTTCACACCGCTCAGAGCCCGACTGGTGCTGCCGCTGCTGCGTCATGACGTCACAGTTTACGTCGCTGAGTTTCTCCCCAACGCCGGAGCTCACCTCACAACAACAACGGGCCGGGGACTGCGTTGCTTTTAATCATACGAAGCCAGATTAAATTAAATAACGACTTCTCCAACCTTATACTTTTCTCCAGAGTGCCGTGGTTCATTGTTTATTAATGTGTTTCAGCGGCATTTACCGACCGCTGCAGTGCTGGCCGGCTGCTCTTCAACGGGAGTGTATTCTCCCGTTAGCTCCGGGTTAGCTCACACGGCTCTAAAGTATTCACTGTCTGACTGTCACACAAGCAGCTGATACATATCCCCAGTTCCCCTTAAGTGAATGTGTGTCAGTCTGAATTGACGCTGTTTGGTGTCAGTCTGAATTGACGCTGTTTGGCATCACAACGCTGTTATGAAAGTTTCTCTGGTATAACATGGGTGATGTTAGCATAGCAACCGAAGCTAAACTGACTACTTGCTAAGCAGTTTTCTACAGGCACTTTTTACCGACGTATTTTTCATTATGATTCTACTTGTGATAGTCGGACATGACAACCTGTGCAGCCCATGTATTGATTCCATCCGATAGCTGCTATAATAACAAACAAAACATCTGCCTGCTCTCCACAATGATCAATAACAGCGAACGGATGGTCAAAGTAAGGTACAAATAAACAGAATCACACGAAGCCTGGTTAGTGTTGCCTGACTTTATAAAGTGTGTTTTTTTCAACCTGGTCTCACCAGAATGCGTGACTCCACCACGACTCCTTAACACCGCATTGCGTGGTAGAGTCACGAACTTTGCTACATTTACGTGTCTGCACCACGCAAACAACCACAATGTAAAGTGAATGAGGCTCCTTTGTCGTGGTGCACACACGCATTTCTACAACGTCCAGCAGTGAGCTTTTATTCTATAAAACGTTTTTAAAATCTACTTTATAGCTTGTAGTAACTCACAGGAGGCTTCTTTTATTTTATTTGTATTCATAATCATTTTTATTTTTCGTCAGAATGTATTATGGTGCATTATTCACCAATGTTTGTTCTCAAAAAACAATGCATTGTGTGTAATACAACTGTGATTTTTATTAAATTAGTTCGTTTTTAAGGAAGGCCAGAGCTTCAGCTGTGTCAAAGAGATTGTTCCCTTTAGTTAACGTTATTTAAAAGATAATTATATTCCTATTTGATTAAGTCCCCTTTATTGTATTACGGACCCAAAGAGCTGAGCGTCCATTCCCATTGGATAACAGAGCATTTTACACCCGGAAGTAAGTATTCTCCTTACTGTCCATTGATTTTATTTACAGTGATATCTGCACTACTCATCAACTCAAAAACACCAGATTATCCTTGTTAATTACACAACATTGATTGGTTTAAATTGTGTGCAATGCTTTTGTATTTTCCCCTTTCGATTCGGAGAAACAAATATTTGTTCGTAGTGTGTGGATGGCAGAAGGCACTACACTACCCAGAATCCTCAGCTATAGGACTACACCATGTGCTTAGAACGTTTCCTACCCCCCCCTTAGGTCACAGGCTCCTCCAACAGTGCAACACAATAAAACAGATAGGCTACACAGAACAAATAGTGCAAGTAAATACAAAAAGAAAAATAGTAAAATAGTAAAAAGTGAAATAGTGCAATAAGAGTCTATATACAAGTGATTGGAATATGATATATTAGATAAATAATTTCTAAGTAGCAGCCAGATGAATGTTATGGATGTTGTTTCTAAGTTCAGGTGTTTAATAGTCTTATGGCCTGTGGGATGAAACTGTCCCTGAGTCTGGTGGGTTTTAGTCCGGATGCTGCGGTACCGCCTGCCAGACGGCAGCAGACAGAACAGTTTGTGGGGTGATGGGGGTCTTTTATAATCCTGAGGGCTTTCTTTAAGGTTAACCTGGTATTTTTACTCCACTACATTTATTTTAGTTACTTTACAGATTTGGATTAATGATGTGAAATATAAACAACCCTTAAATCAGACTTTAGTTACACCGGAGTAAAATTCAGTGAATTCAGCCAACAATCAGGCGAGATATTTGGTAGTGGGTGCTTGAGAAGACTAAATATGTATCTGCAGATCCCTAAAGCATATTCATTACTCGTTATTCTCTACTAATAGTTCATTAAAAACTGTATATAATGGCTATTTTGCACATCCCTTTCAAGATTTCAAGATTTTCTAAGGTTTATTGACATATCATATACACAACTACGGTGTAGTTATGCAATGAATGAAACACTTGGGTCACAGGTTCATCAACAGTGCATCACAAGACATCTATCGATATCTGTGTACCTCCACCATTAAACATATTCTGCACATTTCTTATACTATCTACATACATCTTATAAGAGTATAATTAATATGTATAATATCAGTTAAAATAAGTGCTTCAACATAGTTAACATTGAAGGAAAGTTGATTGTCAAGTTCCAAAACAAACCATGCAATATATTAGACGTTAAGTACTTTGTCAGGCTTAATATCTGTAGATACCCCCAAAGCTTTTTTCTTATTTAAAAGACGACCTTAACCTAAAGTATTCTTTAATGTTTAAATAAAGCCTTATAAGTTTGTCTGTTTTGCACATCCTCCTATCAGGCACTAAACTGTTTTATTGTAGAGATCACTTACAGTATCTTCTTGATATTTTCTATTCTATATTATTTATATCATTGACCTTCCACTTTCCCACTATATTAACAGTATGTACTCTTAATATTGAAATGTTTTCATCAAATATAACACATTCAAAAGTGCTTTACAAAAATGAAAGACATTAAGAAAAAGGCATTTTAAAACAGTCAATAAAAAGCAACCCAATCTACCTGCATTGCATTACTCTAAACGTGTAATAACGTGCTTTAACCAGTAGGAGGTGCGGGTTAAAAAGCTGTCAAGTTTACAGTGTTAACAAAATAAAATATACTGCTGTTTCTGGTTTAGTTTACGACGGATATATTCTGTTATTGTTTTGATATTTGTAACACAAAAGCGATGTAAAAAACCCACAGCAACACAGAAAAGATGGTCTTAACATGACCCAGCGGTCTAGTAGTTAATAAAAAACAATAATATCAAAACAAATTATTACTACTAACTTTATTGTGAAATTAAAATAGAACGGTAAAAGAATAGTTTCCGGTCCATTCTGAGGCCCGATCTCTGTAGATAAATAAAGAACTACGACAGATGTGTAATGTTTAATGCAGCCAAACCATTCATTACAATGCATTCATGTGATGACTTTCAAAGAGTAAAGCAAGCACT